GCTCACCACTCCTCAGCAGACCATTGCACGTTGTTATGTCGCCTCTACCATCTAGCCGTCGGCCTCGTATTCATCATCTTCGTCAAACTCCCAACCCAAACCCTGCTTCAATGCCCGACCTAGTGCCACAACAAAAGTCTTAGAACTGCGCCCATCGCCGCCCAACCCATGAGGTACTAACGAGAACACCCCCACCCCACACACATAACCCATGGATGCAAAGCAAGGGAGAGAAGGAGATGATTGAAAGGAAAATGGGACCGGGAGGGGGGGATTTAGTGGGCCAGGGGTGTCAGAGTGCTACGTGGCTGCTCTCCGGACTCTGGCAAAGCTCTCCGCCCCAACTTTGCTTCCACATTATGGGAGAAAGTGCGCCCGGACCGATAGAGGCCTGTGTTAGATGGCACAACACGTCTGAACTGCGTGTACAAATGTACACGGATGCCCTAAGAAGCTATGGGTTGTTCGTCGAAGACAAAAAAGGGAAAAAAATTGGTAGAAGAGTGGGTTGTTCGTCGAAGAAGAAAAAATAAACGAAAAAAATCTGGTAGAAGAGTCATCTCCGCGACTCCATCCACCTATTCACTTGTCTCTTCCCTCTCTTTCTCGTCCGGAACATAATCTGCGCGCACAACTCCGGCCATCGCCGCCCGGGAAACCGAAGAGGCCCAACTACTTTCCGCGAGCGGGAGCTACCGGCGGGCGAAGCACCGCCTGCTCGCTCTCCCGTCTCCCACCCGCATAATCAATGACTTCGACGTCATCCGCGCCCACCCCATGTCCGCCTAAGAGCCTCGACGGCAAAATCGTCCTTCGCTTCATCTTCTACAATGTCCACGTCGCCGGCTACCCCGCGCAATGCCTATGGCGACGAGGCGGCCCTGAACACCCTCGCGGGCGAAGGGGTGCTGTCGCATGGTGGCGGGGATGCCCTGCACAAGAGTAATTGACAAAAAACTACCACATTTCACGTATCCGTACCACAAAACTACCACATTTTGAAAACTGACCAAAAACTCCAAATTAGTACTAATTCTGTGAGAAAAAACTACCACTTTCACAAAATGGCCAGTTTAGACGATTTAAACACGTTTATGACAGGAGGGCCCGTTTGTCAGGGTTGACGTGGCGGAAATCGTCAACTCCGTTTATTTTGACTGTCATGTTGACCGTGATGACAGGTCAGGCCCACATGTCATTCTTCTTCTTCCTCCTCTTTTCCTATCTGACATTTTAACAAACACTTCATGTGCTCCCCTACACCACCATCTGGAGCAGCATCCCGTGCGTCGCCGCTCCTCCGCCGTCACATCCACCCAGCCCGTCGCCGGAGTGGTCCGTCCATGCCAAAGACCTCCTCCTCCGCGCGAAAGAAGCTGGCTCCGGCGCCCTCAGGCCAGTGCTCGCCCGCGCCGCACATGGGCACCTCCTCTCCTATGCTCCATGCTCTCCTCCTCGTTCTCTTCTCGATGGTCGGCGTCCACGACGCGTCCAGCGGCGTCGCGCCCTATTTGATAGCCCTCGGACGGGTGGCCGCGGCCGAAGCACGCGCCGGTGGGGGCAAGGCGAGGCGCAGGGGTGCGACGCGGGCACGGCCAGAAGAAGGCGAGCGCGGGCGGCAGTGGTGCTCCGGCCATGGTGAGCATCAACGACGGCGGGAGCGCGACAGTGGGCGGAGCTAGCGGGGCGTGGCTGGGCATTGTCGGCAGCGGCGCCGGGGCAGCATCAGTGCATCAGTAGGTAGGGGTGCTGTCACTTAACAGGGAGCGGGGAGCAGGAGGAGGAGGAAGAAGGTCGCCGGTGCCACGGGCTGCCACTGCTCACCGGCGTCGACGCGTCGGCACGGTGGTGCTGCCCGATGCACATAAGGTGCTTGTTGAAATGTCAAACAGAGAAGGAGGGGAGGAAGAAGAAGGTTGATGATGACGTGTGGGTCCCATTTATCATAACGGTTAACTTCACGGTCAAAATAAACAGAGTTGAGTTTGCTGCCGGTCCCACATGTCATAAACAGGTTTAAAATCATAAAAACGGTCATCAACTCAAATTGGTAGTTTTTTGTCACGAAATTAGCACTAATCTGAAGTTTTTGGTCAGTTTTTAAAATGTGATAGTTCTGTGAGACGGATACGTGAAATGTGGTAGTTTTTTTTTTTGTCAATTACTCCCCTGCACAAGCTACTTGGAGCCGGCATTTCAGCGAACACCTAAGGGGCGTCCTGAATAATCTTGCACGAGCAACCTAGCCAATGCCGGGGCGGCACGATGATCGAGTGATGACACGATGGCAAGCCGGCGAGAGGAATGATCTAAGCCGTCTTCTTCCTTGGCTCCGGTCAAGGCCCATGCCGCCGTTGTTTCCTGTACTGAGGTCAGTCTCTACTCACACATTGCGCGTACTGAGGCCATCGCATTGGTGTGACCAAATACCTGGTAAAAAAAATACCTTGGAATAATTCTGAAGCTATTCCAAGTTATATAATTCTGAAGTACTCCTATATACTAGCTGAAAGATGGCAGACAAGTCTCTCTCTCCCCCTTTTTTTCCGGGGAAGATGACTTGCAAGTCTTACATGTGAATGACCGGCATTTGTAAAGCTATTCCAAGTCCAAGATACGACCTTCACCAAGACAAGTCCTCTTTCTTTTCGCAAAAAAAGAAAAAGGACAAGTCCTCTTTTTTGGCAGGACTTCTCCGCCTTCAGACAAGTCCTCTTTTTTTGCTTTCCAGCAACAGTAGGCATCAGGTTAGAGGTTGGCTTTTGTGTTCACAAATAAATACAGTACTACTACCCAATAGTACTAGTGAAAGAAGGAATATGTCCTCCAATTCGACCTAGAATATCCTCACCAGGAAAAAAACACATATCTTGTTTTAGGAATGTAGCAGGTCCTCTGCCTCTGCTCCTTCATCAGGGCCTCAGGGGGTGAATTGGTGCAAAATCTTACTCCCTCCGATCCATATTAATTGGCAACTTTAGTTCGAAGTTAGTACAACTTTGTACTAAAGCTGCACCAGTTAATATGGATCAGGGAGTGCTGGAATAGACTAGACAAGGCAGAAGAGAGGAACACAAACAAAGGATCCGAATCTGTTTCTGAAACATAACCAGACTTTGCTGAGTACTCGGGGGAGGTGGGGCACATTGAGCACAACTGGTGTACGGAATGTATAAAAATTGACAGTGAGCATAGCAAAATGCATACTATTATAACCCGTTACAATTAGATGATGATTAACTAACAAATTTCAGTCGAACAGCGCGGGCCATTTCGTCGAAATCATCAATAATTGTATCTGTCGAGAATCATATTGCAATCTCTTTCTCGATGTAGATCAACAAGTAATCTCTTAGAAATATGTCTCCATTTTATTACGGAGTCTTGTTTTAACAAGTTTTATTGTTGTTGAAAATGCACACTCTGTTGTTGCGGCTGATACCAGTAAAAGAAGAACAACTCGAATTAATCTACATTTCTTTTATGTTGCTATAATTTCCATAGATTCAGTAAAAACCAGACCCACAAATGAATACTGCAAATTAGGAGATCAGAGTGAACGATCTTTCATCTTGAACATGTGTGACTGTGTGTGTTAGCTTCCTGATGTGCTCCAAACTGAAGAAGAAGAAAAATAAAGTTCTTGATGTGCCTCGTACAGTCGTCCTAGATCTTGGCCTTGTAAGAACAGAATTTGCAGAGAGAGGAGAAGCTCCAAGAATGAGAAATAAGCAAAGGGGGGGCCAGGAATGGCTCCCTCCATAGCTGAAGGAGAGCAGGTCAAAGGGCTTCTCACTTTTTAGTGGGATCTTCTGTCAGTAGCACATGTGCTTTTATTATTTCGCTAAAATGCTCTCCGGGAGAAACATATACAAGAGGACACATAGCTTTTTTACATAAATAATCGGGGGCCTTCAGAAAAATTCATACAGAAATAATCGTGGGTCTTTAGAATAAGTTTTTTTTTTTGACAAAGGTCTTCAGAATAAGTTGGGCGGCTGGTGGTAAGCTAATCTAGTGCGGCTGCTAACCGAGAACGACACTCTAGGTCAAGTTTCACAGTCCAAGGAATGGCTGAAGTTGACCTAGAATGAATTGATTAGGCAGAATAATATATCAAGGAAGGGACAACCCCCATAGTTAATCCCCTTCTAATTTTCAGCACAGTAGTGACTAGATTGCATTCTGTTAACTTATCCATCATTCAGCACCATAATGTTGTTGGGTGTGTCTACCTTTCAATCAGCCTTGCTCGTGTACCAGATATAAGAAGGATCCATACTACTATCGGAGGTGAAGTCTTTCACTCACCAACCTAAAACCTCTGCATTGAACCACCACAAGAGTTAGGCCCTGTTCGGGGATCGTCCAGCTCCACGGAATACGGGAGCGGACGGAGCGCCACTTTGGCAACTCCCAGAAAATACGCTGCGGGCCGCTCCGCTCGGCTGCTCCAGGAGCGGAGCTGCGGAGGCGGAGAGCTGCCGAACAGGCTCTTACTCTGCAAGTTCAAATTCCCAGCCTCTTCCAGCCCTGAGTGCCTGGATATTCAGTATTCATCGACTATCCCATCCATGGCTCCTCCGGCCTTCCCCCTCCTTCTACTCAGCCAAATCCATAAACTTCTTTCAATTTAATGCACTGCGATGCAAAACAGTTTGCGTTTTCTCGAAAAAATTATAACTACGAAGCATGCACAAAGTATATAGTAATCGCAGGATGAGAGACAAGTCTTACTACAATATTTGCAAAACTTAATCAGGGAAGGGAAAAAACAGAGCCTGCTGTATACCAGGTCAATGGAACCTTCCTATTGAATTATTCCATGATATACTGGATGACAAACTTTTGACCTCACATTCATCAACAATGACTCTGAATACTCACCAACCTAAAAACCTCTATATCCAAGCACCACCACGAGTTAGGCAGAAAGTTCAAACTCCCATGCTCCTGCCAGCTCTGGGTGGGTGGGTGGGTGTTCTTCCAAGCTGCCATCCATGGCTCCTCTCATCTTCCTCCTCCTACTCAGCCAAGTCCTTGTCTGCACAGCCGTTGATATCATCAACTCCACCTCACCGTTGTCTGGGACGACACACAGGATTGTATCCCAGGGCAAGAAATTCACCTTGGGATTCTACTCCCCGACACAAGGTAACACCACCTCTTCCAGCTCCAACACCTACTACATAGCCATATGGTACAGCGACATACTGCCGGTGACGACGGTGTGGACGGCGACCACCGACGTGCCGGTTTCCGACCCGACCAGAGCCGCCTTGGCCATGGGCAGCGATGGCAACCTTGTCCTCTTTGACCAATACAGGAACAGGGAGCTGTGGTCGACCAACGTGAGCGTACCCTCCAACTCCACCATGGCCATCATCAGGGACACCGGTAGCCTCGACCTCACCGACGCCTCGAATTCATCCATAATTTATTGGCGGAGCATAGACCATCCAACAAACACTTGGCTTCCAGGGGGGAAGCTCGGGCTGAACAAGATCACCGGCGTGAGCCAGAGGCTTGTTCCTTGGAAGAACACGGCAGACCCATCTCCAGGGCTGTTCACGCTGGAGCTGGACCCAAACGGCACGCCACAGCTTTTCATCCAGTGGAATCTGTCCATAACCTACTGGTCCAGTGGCCCTTGGAACGGCCATAACTTTAGCCTTGCACCGGAGATGACAGTCGGTTTCACATTCGACTTCCCATTCATCAACAACGACACTGAAGGCTACCTCTTCTACTCGCTGAGGGATGACTCGGTCATCTCGCGGTTCATCATCGACGTGGGCGGGCAGATCAAGCATCTGTCATGGGTGGATTCCTCACAGCAGTGGATGTTAGTCTGGGCCCAGCCACCGATCCAGTGCGAGGTCTACGCGCTCTGTGGGGCATACGGCAGCTGCAACCTCAATGCCCTGACGCACTGCAGCTGTGTCAAGGGGTTCAGCCAGAAGGTTCAGAGTGACTGGGACCTCCAGGATTACAGCGGCGGGTGCAAGAGGAACACGCCATTGCATTGCCAGACCAACTCGACTTCTGCACATGCACAGACTCATCAGTCTGACAAGTTCTATGTCATGGAAGATGTGTTGCTACCTGATAACGCTCAGGGTGCAGTGGCTACAAGCTCTCACGAATGTCAGGTGGTGTGTCTGGATAGCTGCTCTTGCACCGCTTACACTTACAATCACACTGGGTGCTTCATTTGGCACGGGGACCTCGTTAACCTCCGAGAGCAGTACAGGGGAAATGGAGGAGGCGATCTCCTCCTCAGGCTCGCAGCATCCGAGCTGGCAGACCCAAAAAAGCCCAAGATGGTGATCATTGGTGTAGCTGCTGGTGTAGGCTTGATAATGCTTGCAATGTTCTTCCGATATCAGAAATGCTGCCGAGACAGAAGAAGTCATTGGGTATCCGAGAATGCTGGGATGATAGCCGCACCGACTGGCTTCAGGTACAATGATCTATTGGACGATATTCAAAGTATTGATTCGCTGCTTCTTGATCTATCAACGCTACGAGTTGCTACGAATGACTTCGGCAAAGGAAATATGCTTGGTGCAGGAGGTTTTGGTATGGTTCATAAGGTACAAATCATGCCGTGTCCCGTAAACTTTATCTAACTTTATGTATTTATTTACCAATGAGTATCTTGTCTTGCACAGGGAGTCCTACCTGACGGTAAACAAATAGCAGTAAAAAGGCTATGCCAGAGTTCCAAGCAAGGGATAGGGGAGTGGAAAAGTGAACTTGTCCTGGTTGCTAAGCTTCGCCACAGGAATCTTGTAAGCCTCATTGGCATTTGTTTGGAAGAACAAGAGAAAATACTTGTGTATGAATTTATGCCCAACAGAAGCCTTGATACCATTCTTTTTGGTACACAACCTTTTCACCATTAGTTTCTCAAGGAATATTTTCACTATGGCTGAGCTTCAATAAGAGTACTTTCACTGCAATGCTGATACTTCTTGTTTGAACGAATGGCAGATTCGGAGAAATGTAAGGACCTAGATTGGGGAAGGAGATTCAAGATTATCAACGGAGTTGCTAGGGGATTACAATATCTCCACGAAGATTCTCAGCTGAAGATAGTTCACCGGGACCTGAAAGCAAGCAACATCCTGTTGGACTTTGATTACAACCCTAAGATTTCTGACTTCGGCCTAGCAAAGATATTTGGAGGGGATCAATCAGAAGATGTCACCAGCCGTATCGCTGGAACATAGTAAGCATAGTTAGCATTTCTCAGTTAAAACGCACACAGGACACAAAATTAATTATGTTCTTATTATTGCAGCGGATACATGTCGCCTGAATACGCCATGCATGGTCAGTACTCAACAAAGTCGGATGCGTTCAGCTTCGGTGTTTTGGTTTTAGAGATCGTCACAGGAAGAAGAAACAGTGGCTCCTGCACCTCCGAGAAATACGTTTACCTCGTAAACCTTGTAAGTACTCACGAACCAACGTTAGTAAACTCTGCGCGTGTGGCTCAATCCCCACCGTATTAACCGAGCAATTTGGAATTTACCGATTCGGTGCAGGTATGGGAGCACTGGGTCAGGGGAAATGTCATCGAGCTGATCGACGCATCGCTTAGCAGGCATCCTTCTCCCACTGAACAGGTGCTGAAGTGCATCAAAATCGGGCTACTGTGTGTGCAGAACAGGCCTAAAGACAGGCCGACAATGTCGTCGGTAAACGTCATGCTTAGCAGCCACAATGTTCGTCTCCCTCCTGTTTCCATGCCGGCCTTCTGTGACGGGTTGAACGGGTGCAGTGATAATTCAGAAGCGGCGTCCTCAAATGGGGTAACCATGACAAGGCTCGACCCAAGATGAGCCTTGGAGCAGTCGCTGAGCCAGTTTGGACTAGTGTTAATTTACAGTCTGTTTAGAGACCACCTGGTGGCTATGATGAAAAGTCATATATGTTCCTCCAAGATTGTCTTCAGTTTCAGTTTTGCTGTGAAGAGGCGTCAGGGTATTGCCGTTGGGAAAAAAATGTCAGCAGCACTATTGCGATATGCGCCTTACCCTTGAGCAACTGCATTTGTCAGTAAGTGTTTTTTTAGAATGACGCTCTAACTTCATTCAAATTCAAGAAAAATACAGGTACAATGCTTCGGATCATAGATCCATGAAATTATGAAGTTACTCCTGCAACGAAGAAATAAAATGAAATTTCTTAGAAACAACTTCTCGGTGGTACCAATCTTTGCAACACGAAATATTGCAAGGCTTCGGTAAAGAGACTGCGGTCATACAAAACGCGTGCCAAAAGAACAGTTGGGCATGCCAGCTGCCTTTGTTTCAGTGGATGCGGGGTGCGTAGCTACTTGAAGCAATGAACTAGCCCACGGAAGAACTCGGCTTGAGGATTTGGTTTTGGGTCCAAGTCACAAAATATTTCAAGTTCTTGTCCATCCAAACTAAGCGGGACAGATGTATCACATCATGCAGTTTAAAAAAGATCGATTAGTTTTTTCCTAGGTGACATGTAATTGACCACGTCGAAGCATTCCATGCACAATATATACCATTACAGTACATATTACAACATCTATATATTGTTGCAGGAAACATCCCCGTCGAAGACCCGACTCTTTCCAAGTCTCCCTCCGATTACATTTCCAAAACCCCATCAAAACCTGGTTGATTGATTGGTTGCATTAACACCTGTTGATTGCTCCAATCGGTCAAGATAATTGTGTCATTGATCAGATCAAGGCTGATGCAGAAGCATTGGGCGCTGGGAAGTTCAGGGCGTTTTCCTCTGCAGCTCTGATGTCATGTACATTTTCCTCTGCAGCTTTGATGTCATGTACATTTTCCTTGGGTTGCACTCCTGGGTTGTTTCTCCTTTGTTTTCTTCGGACGTCGTGGTCGTGGAATGTATTGCTTCCTATAAAACAGATGCAGGTCTCCTGAGCAGGTGGTCCGCGGCACACGAGAGGGAGGTCTGAGAGCCCCGCGCGATGTCGAACCGCACGCATCTTCTGCTTCGTCTCCGGCCAACTTTTCTTCTGCTCCGCCTTGCCCTCTTGGCTACGGCGGACGGCGGGCCGGCCGCACGGGCGGCGGCGAGGCCAGGCTAGCTGATGAGGTGCAGCGACGTGGACATCCCGTACCCGTTCGGCATCGGGGAGCGGTGCGCCGTCAACCGAGGGTTCGCACTCCGCTGCAACTCGACCACAGGCGTGAAGAAAATATGCCCTAGAGGCAATAATAAAGTTATTATTTATTTCCTTATTTCATGATAAATGTTTATTATTCATGCTAGAATTATATTAACAGGAAACATAATACATGTGTGAATACATAGACAAACAAAGTGTCACTAGTATGTCTCTACTTGACTAGCTCGTTGATCGAAGATGGTTATGTTTCCTAACCATAGACATGTGTTGTCATTTGATTAAGGGGATCACATCATTAGGAGAATGATGTGATTGACATGACCCATTCCATTAGCTTAGCACCCGATCATTTAGTATGTTGCTATTGCTTTCTTCATGACTTATACATGTTCCTATGACTATGAGATTATGCAACTCCCGTTTGCCGGAGGAACACTTTGTGTGCTACCAAACATCACAACGTAACTGGGTGATTATAAAGGAGCTCTATAGGTGTCTCCAAAGGTACATGTTGGGTTGGCATATTTCGAGATTAGGATTTGTCACTCCGATTGTCGGAGAGGTATCTCTGGGCCCTCTCGGTAATGCACATCACATAAGCCTTGCAAGCATTGCAACTAATGAGTTAGTTGCGAGATGATTTATTACGGAACGAGTAAAGAGACTTGCCGGTAACGATATTGAACTAGGTATTGAGATACCGACGATCGAATCTCAGGCAAGTAACATACCGATGACAAAGGGAACAACGTATGTTGTTATGCGGTCTGACCGATAAAGATCTTCGTAGAATATGTGGGAGCCAATATGAGCATCCAGGTTCCGCTATTGGTTATTGACTGGAGACGTGTCTCGGTCATGTCTACTGTTAAATTGTGATCCAAATTCCAGTACCGTATTGGACTAGACATAGTACATACGGTGTGGGCCTTTTGCGTTGGTACCGACGCGTACGAGTACAACTTGTTTACTTGTCCTACAAGGACTCCTATGTGTTGCTCCTCATATATACCCCATGTAGTCGCACCTCAGACGGTCTGTCGTCTCGTGCTTGTAATACTCCTCCTCATAGTGATTGCGCCTTCGTGCGTCCGTGGTTTTCTCCCGCAAGGGTTTCCACGTAAAAATTCGTGTCTCTCTGTCTCGTTTATTCTCGTTATTATCTAACATCTACATTGTTCTCGAACCCATAGGGTCCGCACGCTTAACGTTACGATGACAGTTTCATTATGAGTTTATATATTTTGATGTACCGAAGGAGTTCGGAGTCCCGGATATGATCACGGACATGACGAGGAGTCTTGAAATGGTCAAGACATAAAGATTGATATATTGGAAGCCTATGTTTGGACATCGGAAGTGTTCCGGGTGAAATCGGTATTTTACCGGAGTACCGGGAGGTTACCGGAACCCCCCGGTAACCTAATGGGCCTTAATGGGCCTAGTGGAGGAAGAGGAGAGGAGGCCTAGGGGCTGCCGCGCGCCCTCCC